CGGCTGGAAGGGCGCTATCCTCGGCTCGGCGGCGCTGCTGTACCTCGGCTCGCTCGTCGGCTGGGTCCTGCTCTACATCCACTTCGGCGGAGACTGCCCGAGATTGCCCGAGATCGCCCGAGATTGCCCGTGGCCCTGCTCTACCCCACCACCACCCGCACCCCTCGCGCATGCCCGGCGCAGCAGCGGAGGGGCTCGTCCATGACTCGGAAGTCACTCCTCGCGATAGGCTCCTCGGAGTGCCCGGCGCAGCAGACCATCATCTCGCTCACCCTGATTGCCTGCGTGGTCCGCCATCTCGCCACCATGCATCCGCATCCACACCAGACGCTGGTGACGGACGCGAATGAATATTAGGTCCTCTCCGTCCTCTCATGCTCCAAGATTGCGCCTCACGGCACCCTGCTCACCTCCGCGGCGGTCACCGCCTACGCCACCTTCCTCTGCTACTCAGCCCTCGCGTCACACCCGGACGACGGCTGCAACCCCTTCTCGCACCGCCGCCACTCTGCGCTCGACATCGTTGTCGGGCTGCTCGTCGCGTCCATCTCGCGCGCGGGCCTAGAAGGGGAACGCGGAGTCTTGTACCCCAACTAGCGCTCGAGAGGACACGCACTCCGCCGTATTCGAACGTATTCCGCTATGTCCGCTGTATTCGCAGCCTGATGTTGGCGTGTTCAGCACGCAGGCTCGCGGGCACGGCGCTCCATATCTCCCCACATCTCCCCACATCTCCCCATCTCTCCCACGTAGGCTCGCGGGCACGGCGTGGAACGCGACGAGCACCAAGAATCAGGTCCGTCGTGTACGACATGGGGAGATACGGGGAGATACGGGGAGAGATGAGACACACACACACACACACACACACACACACACACACACACACACACACACACACACACACACACACACAAACGCGCGCACGCACACCGCTCACCCACGCGCGCTGGGCCTTGCACGTTGAATGCCGTGCCAGCTCCTGTCGTCTAGACGTGGAGTCGCGAGGGACTAGCCTGGCTCCTGCCCCACCAGCTCGTGTGTGTGTGGAAGTGTACCTGACTTGACCTGACCTGATCTGTCCGTTAAGGTCATCGGCTCCGACTCCGCTTCGCCCAACGAGCAGCCCCTCGACCCGAACGCGGAGAAGGAGGCGCCGGCGTACGACGAGATGGAGGAGGAGTCGTGGTGGTACTACCACCTGATGATGGCGACGTGCGCGCTCTACCTCTCCATGCTCCTCACGGGCTGGTCGACTAACCCTAACCCTAACCCTAACCCTAGGTGCGCGCTCTACCTCTCCATGCTCCTCACGGGCTGGTCGACCGAGCCCGCGTACATCGACGGCGTGCCGACGGCCGTCGGTGAGGGGCACTTCCGAGACACTTCCGAGACACTCCCGAGGCGCCTCCGAGATGCCTCCGAGGCGCCTCCGACCCCTCTCCTCCCGGTTGGGCCGTCGCCTGCAGCCCCGGTGCCCTGCATGTGTAATGAGGCACGATCGACACGTACGACGCGGCGTCCTACTCGGTCGGGCTGCCCTCCTTTTGGGTCAAGGTTGTGGCGCGCCGCGCTCCGGCTGCTCGAGATGTACCCGAGGTGACCGGAGGTTGCGCGCGGTAGGTCGTGTCGCAGTGGATCTGCTTGCTGCTCTACTCGTGGACGCTGCTCGCGCCGTACTTGCTGCGCGACCACCGCGACTTTGGCATCGAGTTCGACTTCTAGCCAGCGGCCGCAAGCGAGCTGCGAGATCGGGCTTCCGTGCGAGGTTGAGGGGTGGCGGTGGGGAGGACGGGCGCGAAGGGGTCCTCTCGGGGCGAGGGTCCTATAGCACGCGTTCGTGCACACGCGACGACGCTTGCGCGCCTGTCTTCGCAAATCTGATATCATGTGTGGGTGTATGAAGTCGTGAGGCTGGAGCGGCTGTTCTTAGTAGAGGATGGGATAGGTTAAGGGAGAAGGGGCAAAACCAAAAGTGAGCAGTCACGCAGGCGGAGGCGCTCTCGGACTGGACAACCGGAGCGCGGAGGACGCGCGTGCATCGGCCATCGCATCCGCACACAGCAGCACGAGCACCCCCCCACACCGCGGGCACGCAGCACACGACAGCCGGGACGCAGTCGTCCCTCCCCGGTGACGACCCCCCACGACCGTCTAGCACCTGAAGCTCTGTCCTCTGAGTGAGTCTGACTGTCCTACTAGAACCTTTCGTGTCCGGCGTGTTGAGCTGGTTGAGGCTTGAGCGTCTCCGACTCGAATATCGAGCACCAGATTTCTTCGCAACCTGCAGCCGGCTGGGACTTCTTTCGGACCGGCTCGCGACCATCTCTTTGAGTCGATCTCTCGATCCACGGCCGCTTCTATGACGCTACTTTCGACGTATGACGAGTGGGGCAGATGGCGGCCCGTGCGCCGTGGAGACGACGGCGAGCCGCCAACCGTTGGAACAGTCGCGTCACTGTGCTCTTTGCGCAGGTGCGCGAAGACGTTCTCAAGACCGGGGTGCTGCCTTTTTCCATCCGAGGCCAACACGAAGCTGTCCTCTAGAGAGTGGCCACAGGCCCTGTAATGGTTTCTTCGACTTCGTATGTTGATCTGTGCGCCTGTGTATGCGGCTCTGGGCCGGCGCGGGGGCCCCAGAGGGTGTCCATGCTTGTTTTCATGGGAGTTCGGCGCGGCCATGCTATCACGCCTTGCGACATCCTTTCGGCGCTGCTGCCCGTGCCATGCTGCACAATTGATCACCTGCATAGCTCGCGCGGCCTTAGTATCAAGCATTCAGTGACGACCTGATCGTACGGCCAGTAGGAAAGTGTCCTTCCATCGTGTGCACGCTTCTGGCGCAATGCGCGTCGCCTCGGATTGGCTGCTGGCACTCTCGAGGCTATGCCTACACAGCCTCGCGCGCATGGGCAGTCAAGAGGGACCACGCACCTTCTCAGGACAGCGCCGGTGCCTCTCTCTTGGACCGGCAAACTTGGTGGTCTAGAGTGTCACCAATGTGGGACCAGTGCGGCATCGCGCCATCGACAGCTCTGAACTGCGCCTCACCACTGACCGGGAAGGCCGCCAAGTGGGCCAGCACAGGTCGCACATTGTGGCAGCAGTCAGCAGTGCATGTCTGATAGCTAGAGCACCAGCGTCAGGGTCGCAGGGTCGGATCGTGTCAAGCCTCTCGCCCGGCCGGCTGCGTGCAGACGTCGGCCTGTCTGCTGTCTGGAGTGATCTGTCGGCGGTCAGTACGACCGATCAGGTTGGAGGTTTCTGATGGTTGGAGGGTCTATCTGTATGTACTCCTCGAGATCTCTCCAAATCTGCCCTCTGATCAACCTAGCTTAATCGGGAAGTCGGTGCTAGTAGAGACTAGTTGAGAGAGCCGGAGCCCCGTTTCCGCACTGCTGCGCGGCGCACGGTGCCTCCGGGGGCCCCCGTGCCCCCCCAGAGTCCCACTGTGAATTTGTGTGAGCTCTGTATGTGTCCTGATTTGCCAACAACATACCTACA